GTTTGTCACAGCCCGCGTTTCAAGATGGGATCTCTCCTCTCCTCCAGAGAACAGCTTCCTTATCCCAACTATCCCTGGGAGAGAATCTGATCCAAACAGCAGTCTCCATCCAGAGCCACGTGGCTTGCACAGTTTACATCTCACTAAAGCCAAAAATAACAACAGCCACCACCCCCCTGTGGTTATTGGTTGGCCACATTATTCAACATCCTGACCTTCTGAACATGAACAGCAACACCAAGAAACCCAGAATCGTTCAAAGTCCTTCAGGCTGGGAATGGTGACCTGCAAAGTGGGTACCCGGCCTTTGCAGACAACAAATTCTTTCAAGGTTTCCAGCTGTCAAGCAACAGAGACTTATGGCTTTGCAATGCTGCAGAGTTTCTGCAGCAATTCTTTGCTCCTTCTTTTAATGGCCCTGTGTTTCAGACATCAGCAGCTTGAAACAAAGCACTTACCTTGGTAAAAAAAAAAAAAGAGATTTTCCTAACCTTTTATCTCTAGGCTAGGCCAATAAATTTTTCAGCAAGTAACAATGCAAGTTGATTTTGGTTTTCTACTTGAATCACATAACATTTCTGGAAAAGGAAGGAAGTTTAGTGATGAATTTGTTAGCCTCTGGAAGTCTAAGGGAAGACATTCTCATATTGCCAGATTTTTTTTAATCCAGTTTCTCTGACACAGGTTGCCACTGTTTGAACCAATCCATCTGGCTGTGCTTTAACAGAAGCAAAAGAAAAAACATTGGATTTCTCCTACCCTAGTATGGTTTCTTTAATAACATTTATGGAATAAATTGAACTTACCCAATATGATAAATAAATGAAGCTGTGTACAACCTCTGAACCCAGCCACTGAGGACTGTAAACGATTGTATATGGCTTAATGCAACGTGGGTATGACAACTATTCCAGCTTGTTCTATAAACTATGATAAAACAAGCCATGTGGGTTCTAAACCATTGCATATGTCTTAATGTGATGTTTTTGCCAAGCCATTGTTGCTTCAATAAATTATGATAAATGAGGTAACAAGCCATCAGGCCTCGTTCAATAAAGTATGATGAAAACAAACCATGTGGGCTCTAAACCATTGCATATGTCTCAGTGCAGCGTTTTTTAAACTTTTTTCCCTCAAGGCCCCTTCCCACTTTTAAAAACAATAGATGACCCCAAAACAGCTTTTGTTTATATGGGTTATATTTATCAATATTGATCATATTAAAAATTAAAATTGACTCATTCACTGCTGCTACTGCTTCTTACAATTGTTTGATGGGATTTTAATATTATATTATTTTTCAATACAGGCTGGCAAGTAATTTTGATTTTGTGGGTCACTTAAGGGGGACGCGGTGGCGCAGCGGCTTAATGACGCTGAAAGTTGCTGGCCAGAAATGGTCGACGCTTCA